TGCATATGGGAGAGAACAAAAAAAAAAAAAAAAAGATGAGAAACTCTAATCAAATTTTTGTGGTTTTGGGGTATATACACCCTAACAAAGCTTCTTGGAAAGATCTGACATGATTCCATTGATAGATGCAGCTGTCAGAATCACAAACGTCATGCAAAAAGGAGGAGAACAAGAGGAGAGAAAAAGAAAGAAGAGGAAAAGAGAGAGAGAGAGAGAGAGAGAGAGAGAGAGAGACGGGGGAAAGAAGGTGTAGAGCGCTGGAAGTTATTAAATGGGCCGCTAGCAAATGCCCACAGGGATCAGGGGAAAGCGAGAGGGGACAAGGGAGAGACAGAGAGGTTAGGGGTCAGGGGAAACCCACTTTTAAAATGCTGCATACTCTGTTTCTAGCCGATGTGAACCAATGTGGTTATCTAACATTGGCACATCACAGCCCTGGCAGAATAATAATAATAATAACAACAATAAATAGAATAAAATAGAATTCATAATAATCAAAAGGGGAAGAAAACAGAAAACGGTTCACACGGGGCAGGGTGGGGTGGGGGACAAGAAATTAACAACATGACCACGATGGATGTTCCATGCAGAGAATACAGGATGCAGTTCGTGGACCTCGCAGGAGGGAAGAAGGTGAAGGGGGAAGAAGGCACTGTTTCATGTGGGTCCATTTTTCACACACACACACACACACACACAAATGCACGCCAAAGAAAGGTGGGTGAATGCTTTCCCCTAACTCTCCTGCCCTGTCTATAAAATGTAGAGGCGGGCGGGTGGGCATTTCCAACTGGGAGGGTGCCCAGGCTGACGGGGACCACCCCATGATTTATCTTTCCTGTCTCCTGTCTGATTCCTCCATGGGTTCCTGGGATTCGAACTGGATAAGATGCCCTGCCCAGCCCTTGAATAAGGCCCAGCTTAACCCAGCCACATTCTTTAAGACCGTCTTGTTCTAAAAAGGCGGAGAGGTGCTGTTTGTATAGCACGTTTAAGCCCGGTTTAATGAGAGGTCAGGATCGCGTCCACCTCATGGTTGACGCCTAGGAGGAGGAAGGGTATGAGAGCTGAATAGGGTGGCCAGGTTCACGCCACAGTGGCTGGGTTCCTGGAAAAGTTTTGCAACTGGGGTGGCTTACAAATAATGTCAATAAATTAAGGCAGTGTTTCTCAACCTCAGCAACTTTAAGATGGGTGGACTTCAACTC